CCAGTCGGAGGAGTCACCGGGCCAGAGGGCAGAGAATGAGGGATGGATGGGCAGGAAGCCAGGTGCCCAGGGACCAGGCTGGGGTGGGGCAAGAGGGAGCAGGGATTGGAAAGAGGTCAGGATGTCACTGGCAGTGCTTTGGGCTCCTGTACGCCTTGAGGAACTTCCCCCTCACCCCCCATACTTGGGTGTGGCTCAGCCCTTCATAGTTTTTGAGAAAACAGACCGAAATGCCTCAGAGGTGATGCGATTGGCTGCGTTCACTAAGCTCCGCCCCCTGCACCTGCGTGGTGGGGAGTAGGGGGGCCACCTACCCCCCTGGCTCATTTCTGACTACCGCTCTAGGAGGAGGTTTTCAGGGTGTCCCCGGTTTGCCGAGGAGGAAACAGAGGCTCGGAGAGAAGGCGTGGGCTGCCCAAATTCACAGAGCTGTTGGATGGGGATCTGGGATAAATTCAGGGAACCCGGAAGCTTCACCACGTAGGTCTCATTCATGACCTGCGCTCAGAGCCCACCGTTCCTTACAGCTGCTTGACGTGTTCGCTCATCGCCTGGCTTCGGGCAGCTTCAGGGGCAGGCTCATCACCCCCCTGTACTCTCCCCTTCCTGGTAGTGGCTCCTGGGGAGTTTCCCTGGGGGCAGCGGAATCTAGCACACTTAGAGCGCACGCCCATGGGGCGGTGGGGCAGCCAAGCCCTGGGTACCCCAGGAGGCATCCGTTCTTACCAGGCTGGGCGGTCATTCTAGGGGAGCCAACCTCCGTCTTTTCCTCTGCCCACTTCCCTTCCTCTGCTCTGGGGGAAGGGACTAGTATCTTGAGGCCGACTCAGAAGGGCTCCAAGCAAAGAGGCTGATGAGCACACTTACAGCAGGATGTTAGTGGTCACATGCCATTCACTTGAAGGCCTTGTGTTTATTAGAGATTCAGAGAAAGGGCAATGTTTAAGACAAAGACGTGAGGTTTTTTCAAGAATGGAGTTTCTCAGAGTGGTTAAGGAACTTGCCCAGGGACACACAGCATCAGGGTGAGTGAGATTGGATCCCAGAACTGTCTCTTTTCACCAGCCTAAGCAGTTTCACCATCAGTTATGGCCAAATCAAAAAAAAAAAAAAAAAAAAAAAAAAAAAAAGAATATTTCAGAAACCGAGGAAGGCAATTTTCACAACTTGGTTGTGTGTCAGACTCACCTGGAAAACTAGTAAGGAGCACAGAGGCGAAGGCTCGTTGACGTGGGGACAGCACCTGGGCTGTGGAATTTGTACCAAGTTCTTTATATTCACCAAAGTTTGAGAATTACTGATGGAAAGGAGAAAGGATCCTAAACTTTTTAGCTAATTAGCCCATTTTTCCAGGCTCTACCTTTTTGCTATCAGGTCTAGTACCTGGAACGTAGGAGGAGGCCGCCGAGTGGTTGTTGAATAAATGGACAAATCTAGAACTCAACTGGTTACCGCAGAGGACTGCTCAACCAGAGACCCCCGGAGGCAGGTCACTGCTACATCTGCAATCCAGTTTGGGCCCCATTTCCAAAGTAGCCACATGGACGAGAGCCTGCCCTTCAACCATGTCTTCGAGTTACATTGAGGGAGTTCAGGATCCTGTCAGAAAATAAACACACACAAATAAAGGGCTTTCCTTTACGCCAACAGTAACTGTTGTATAATGGGGCAACCGTTCCATTCCATTCTTAATGAAATCAAACCCTAAACATAATACAATCTAAAATCTTCCCAAGTTCGTTTTTAATTTGAAGGACATTCCAATTAATATCCCAAAAGAGCTTTCTTGAAACTTAATATAATGGCTTTGAATTTCATCTGGTAGAATGAGTAGCCAAAAATAGCCAAGAAATAGATTTAAAAATTTTTTTTTCTTCTTATTTTTAATGTTTATTTTTGAGAGAGAGAGAGAGAGAGACAGAGTGTGAGCAGGGGAGAAGCAGAGAGAGAGGGAGACACAGAATCCAAAGCAGGCTCCAGGCTCTGAGCTGTCAGCACAGAGCCCAACACGGGCTTGAACCCACAAACTGCGAGATCACGACCTGAGCTGAAGTCGGATGCCCAACAGAGCCACCCTAAGAAATATTTTTTAAAGAGAAAGTAATCTGGGAAGGCTTTGGTGATAAAATGCTTAAAGCAGCATGAGGGCGGGGCTAGAATTTACAAACAGATGAATAAAAGAAAAAGTTACCCAGCAGACAAAATTCATTTATATGTAAGTACTTAATATATGATACATGTGGCATTTCACATTCAAGGGGAGATTTTTTTTTTTAAGGTGATGCTGGCATTGCAGTGTATAAAATATATTTGAAACAGAAGTGGGGAGGGGAAGGAAACTCATCAATATGCCACAGATAACATCCTTTGGGTGGGTCTGATGGTAAACTTACCCCCCCACAAATGCTTCCAAGATCCCCCCAGCTTCCAGGCTTTATCGTAGGTTTACATGCACAAAGAACTTGTTCTCGGAATTTGCATGAGATGCATGAGCCCCAGATGCTGGGTTCTGCACAACAGCAGCCGCCCGTCCTAGGGTCACCGCCAGCTGGGGGGAAGGGGACAGGACGAGGGTGTGGCAGAGACTTGGCTCCAGGCCCTGGGGTGGCGACGGATGAGCAGACTCTCACTTTAGAGATGAAATTTACCCTTCAATTCTAAGCGCTTTCCCCCAGACATCAAGCTAAACACGGAGTGCGGCCGAGGCTTCCATTTTAAGCCCGTAATTGGCAGGATGGTCCTGCAACCCCATCATAAGTCTTCTGTGAAATTGCAGTGTCCTCACCGCCTAAAAATATGCAGCTCAGTTTGGTCATGTTGCAAAAACGCCACTTGTACTGACCATGAAAATAGTAACGCGTGGAGGACGTGTAAGAAAATGAGAGCCCGGGGTCTGCGGCAGAGAAGCTGGGTCCCAAGGTCAGAAAGACGTGGCTCTGGAGTCTGAGGACGGCCCCACAGCTCCAGGAGGGGGTTCGCCTTCTCCGGCTGAGTCCATCGGAAGTCTCGTATCATTATTTGATGACTTCTTTGGATAAACCCTTTTACTCTCTTTTTTCTTTTCTTTTTTTCTTTTTATTAAGAAGAAAAAGGTGTGGTCTAGGTTGTTTTACCATTCTAATTTTAGCGCTCTGGGCGTCAAAGGCAGATTCGAGATAAAAATGACAGGCTTCCTTATATAGCTAAGAGCGTGGTACTGTCCGAGAGAAAGACCTTTTCATACCTGGGGACAATTTTCCGGGAAAGGTGCTCAGCTATTTAGGAAGCTTGGAGGGGGTGGAAAGAGTGTTGGCCGAGAGCCAAGAGGGCTGGTTCTGTGTCTGGCTTGGTCAAGTTCAACTTAGAAAGTCACGTAGCCTTTCTGTTTCTGACTCCTCATTTGTGAAGGAGGCCTTGGAGTCCCTACCCCGCCACTCAGGTGGAGCTCTGTGGGAATCGGACGCAATGACATCTTGCAGATGGGAAAACTGAGACACTGGGTTCACACACTTAAAGCACTTAGCTGATAAGTGACAGCGCTTTGCAAACTGTAAATTGCTACACCTAAGGTGGCCATACTCTTCTTCTAGCACAAGTGAGATAAATGGTCACAAGTACTTACTATAGGGATAGAGCCACTGTGGTCTTCTGACAATGAAACCAGAGACAGAAAGGAAAAGTAAATGAACACATAGATTTTTCTCCATTAACAATCAGTGATGCACCCCCCAAACAGATCTGGAGAATGCTAGAGTTAGCGCTCCCAGCGATCACGGAGGGCTGGGTTGGGAGGCAGTGTTTTGCCCATTTTAGTGCTCTTCGTGGACAGAAAAATGCATTCATCCACCTAGACCCACAGTCCTTCCTCATAGTGGAAGCTTCAGGTCCCTGTTCAGGGTCACCTCTGTCCTCGCAGGGACACTGGTTGCCCTGGCAGGTCTCTTCGCCCGTGCCAAGCCATATGTCTGACAGCTGCACCTGAATCCCTCCCTGCTGGTGTGACAGATGTACAGATGGCGGGAGGCAGCGCCCTGGAGCCGCGGAGGGCATGGGCTGTGTGCATGCAAAGCCCGGGTTTCGCTCTCGCCCCACCCCTGAAGAATGGAACACTCTGGGGCGAGCCCAGTTAACGTCTCTGCATCTCATTTCCTTCATCTTTAAAGAGGATGTTTTAGCTGCTGATTTCCAGGAAACAAACTCAGTGATGGAGATTTGCATGCAGGATGTTTTGTGCGCGGGGCTCGTGGCCCCTGTAAGGAAGAGAGGGGGCAGCGGGAGACGTAGGGCTTCTGTGTCGACCAAACCCCGGCCCCGCGGATCCCTTGGTGAGCTCTGAAGCTGGGCTGGCCCTGCAGAGTCATTCCATCTTGGGGCAGGGGGTTGGGCCTGTGCGCACCCACACGGACTAGTTTGGGGACACAGGCTGACCCTGAGAGGGGCAGCGGCTCGCCTAGATCACAGGCAGTTCCTGGAGGGGACGCGGCTAAGAGCCCCCAGACACCAGCTTCCCAGCGCTGGGGAGATGAGAGGCTGGGTCCTGAAAGGTGGCCCGGGCTCTGCACGCCACAGCGTCCGTTATGAAGGCAGTGGTCTTGGCTCCATTTGAGGGCTTGGGGAGGATTAAGTGACACCGTGTCTGGGAAGCCCTACATCCGCTATTGTCATTGTTACCTAGCTTCGTTCTGATTGTTGAGTCGTGACACCTGCGTTACGATGCTGGCCTTCTCTGTTTTACTTCTCCCGCGCTCTACTGGGAGCTTCTTAATAGAAACAGCCATGGTTTGTTGTCGTTGTTTTATCTTCGTATCCGTAGACTTGGGCATAGAACTTGGCTCCTAAAAACTTGTACTAAATCACTGCAGATGGAAACATGGATCAAGGGACGGGGTCACAGGAGAATGGAGGCCGCAGGGAAGATGCCCTGGGGCTGCTTCTTTGGGGTTCCAGGTGGCACCCCGTTGTCTTTCTCATCACAACATGGAAAGCTGCGTGTGACTAACGTCCCCTGCTCTCCCTCCTAGTCGCTCTGGGCTCCTGGCAGTCCCTGGCCCTCTCCGCAGCAGTTGTCGACCCGTCCATCAGGAACTTTGATGTTGCCCACATTAGCACTGCCGCCACCAGGGACTTCTCTGATGCCAGAGACTTCTGTCTGTTGGGTAAGGGGAGTTTCCCACCCCTCCCTCCCTCCAAGGTAGGGTGGTTGATTGGGACGGGGCCTCACACAGCGCTGCCAACGTCCTGACCTCGGAAGCACGTGGGAGACCCCAAGATGGCCTGGCGTGTGGGCAGGAAGGGATGAACCTGGGGACAGACTCTGGGTGCGCCCTCCTCTACAGTACCCCCATCCTCCTGCAGGGCAGACCATAGTCAAGGTCTCCAAGGGAGTAAGCTGGCCAGAAAGAGAACAAGGTGGCCAGGTCAGAAGATGATGAGAGGAATGATCTAGGAGGCTAGTCGGAGACAGAGGAGATGAGCAGAAGCCGGGATAGCTGTCCTCAGATTATAGATGGGCCATCATGGCAAGGAAGAAATGTACTTGTCCTCAATACAAACTAAAGAAGCTTCTAATAGGCAGAGATGTCCACAGACAGATACTTCTTTTAGAGGGTTTCTGGTCACTGGTATTTAAACAAAAGCTAGATAACCATGTGATAAAAATGTTCTACAAAGACTCTCTCTTCTGCAAGAGTCTGAGGTCGAATAACATTCATACTCCTCCAATTCTTTGATTCCATGAATCCCCTCACCGACAGGGTTGGATAGAACTACGCACATCTTACAGAAAGCGCCGTGTATAGATGTACAGGTTGTGCACTGCACAATTCTGTGTGCTGCCATAGCACAGACTGGGCTGTGAATGAGGCCCTTAGACAGTTCACAGCTTGCCCAAGTAAATGAGTCAACACCATTTTCACAGCTGTTCTTAGGACTGAAAATCTTTAATGCCATGAATAATTTGAATTATCTAGTTCAGGACCTGGTGCACATGGAAAATGACATAATCCCTGGTGGAAAATTGTGGGTATGATGGGGGAGCTGGACAGGGAGATAAGGCTGAAGAGGAAGACAAGGGCTGGAGCATGGAGAGCTTTGTCTGGTATGACTTAATCCCAAAGCCAGTGGGGAGCCAGGGAGTTGCTTCAAACAAGGGAATGACAGGAGCACATTTGTGAATTAAATAAACAACCCCAAACCTGATTTTTGTGTGGAAGATAGATCTATAGAAGAGTTGGGTTCTACCCCCCATCCCCACCACAATTCTATTTCCAGCCCCTGGCACAGTATCAGGGATGTATAGTAGATGTTCAAATGAATAAGTAAGTGATTGTATGGATGGATGGATGGATGGATGGATGGATGGATGGAGGCATAGACAGATGGTTGCACGGATGCATGGATGCATGGGTGGGTGGATGGATGGATGGATGGATGGATGGATGCATGCATGCATAATTGGATGGATGGATGGATGGATGGATGGATGCATGCATGCATGCATGCATAATTGGATGGATGGATGGATGGATGGATGGATGGATGGATGGATGGATGGAAGCATACATGATTAGATGGATAGACTGACAGGTGCACGGATTCACAGATACATGACTGGATGAATGGGTGGACTGATGGATGAATAGATGATGTACGGGTTCCCGGATGCACGATCGGATGCCTGATCAAACAGAAGATGGCTGAGGTGCTATCTCTGAGGCCCAAGCCTCACTCTTCTCTTATTCCGTAGAATGTTCCCGTCACCAGGCCTGCCTTGTCACCACTCTGCAGACCCGACCTGGTGCTGTGAGGTGTGTATTCTATGCTGACACTCAGATCTGCACACATAGCCTGCAGGCCCAGAACTGCCGGCTTCTGCTCCGTGAAGAGGCCACCCACATTTACCGGAAGCTGAGTAAGTCCCAGCCTGTGTCTTTGTGGCTATTTCTGAGGGCCTGGATATAGCTGGGAGAGATCGTCCAAGCATGTGGTGACTTGTGGGCAGTGGCTTTTGAGGTTCTTAAGGAAAAATTGGCCAAAGTTATCCTGGGAAAGATGGCATTCATTTGGGATGGACTGAAGGAAGATGAAAACCCTGTATGTATATATACATACATACGTACATACATACACACACACATATACAATTATGGTTATTTTATTTTATTATAGTATATTTTATTTTACTCTATTGTAGTTAGTTAACATACAGTGCAACATTGGTTTCAGAAGTAGAATTCAGTGATTCAGCACTTACGTATAACACCCAGAGCTCATCATAACAAGTGCCCTCCCAGTACCCATTACCCATCTGGCCCACCCCCACCCACCTCCCTCTATCTACCCTGAATTTGTTCTCTATTGTTAAGAGTCTGTTGTGGTTTGTTTCCATCTCCTCTCTTCCCTCCCCCTTCCCATATGTTCATCTGTTTTGTTTATTAAATTCCACCTAAGAATGAGTTTATATGACATTCGTCTTTCTCTGATTTACTTATTTTGCTCAGCATAATACATTCTAGCTCCATCCACATCATTGCAAATGGCAAGATTTCATTTTTTGATGGCTGTGTAATATTCCATTGCGTATATATGCCACATCTTTTTTACCCATTCATCAGTCGATGGACATTTGGGCTTTCTCCACAGTCTGGCTATTGCCGATAGCGCTGCTATAAACACTGGGGTGCATGTGCCCTTTCGAATCAACATTTTTGTATCCTTTGGATAAATACATAGCGATGCATCCAGTGCAGGAGGGGTCCCCTTTCTCCTCGTCCTCATCAACAACACCCGTTGTTTCTTGCATTGTTAATTTAGCCATTCTGACAGGTGTGAGGTGGGATCTCCTCGTGCTTTTGACTTGTATTTCCCTGATGAGGAGCGACGTTGAGCATCTGTTCATGTGTCTGTTGGCCATCCGGATGTCTTCTTTGGAAAAGTGCCTATTCATGTCTTCTGCCCATTTCGTCACTGGGTTGTTTGTTTTTTGGAAACCCTGTTTCTAAGCTAGAACTTCTCTGTGCTGCCTTTATTCATTTATCCGAGATATGGAAGCCACTGGCCTTTGAGTTTCATAGCAAAGTAATCAAATGGGCTACTATTTATGATCATTTTATAGTTCAGACACTTCTGTCCCGTGCCTTATCTCAGCTGGTCCTCACACCAATCCTGAGATAACAAGATAAGGCTTTCATCCCATGTTAGTGATCAAGAGACTCTGGCCCAGCGAATCCACTTCTCCGATTTCACACAGCCAGCTGTGACAGAATGGGAACTTGGAACCAGGTTTCCTATCTCTAGATACAATCTGCTCACCCTAAACCACCTCGCCTCACTACCGAATCATAATCACCATGGAGAGGGCAGCTTTTCGTGGCTCAGTTTCATTTAAAAGCATCCAGTGAGGTGCTGTTACATATCCGATGTTGTGCTAGGTGCTGGGGATACAGGGATGAAGCCAGCAAGGGGAGAGCAACCTAGAAATCCATCACTAACTGAAACATCTAAGAACCCTTTAACAGGGTTCGTGGGAGCTGGGGATCTGGGGGAAGCACCTCCCCCATTAGACCTGCTTATGGGATGGAATTAATAACTTTTTTTTTTTTTTTTAATGTTGCCTTTTTCTGCCATCTTATCTTCTAGAGCAGAGACGGGCAAACTTTCTCTGTAAAGGGCCAGATAAATATTTTAGGCTCTACGCGTCTGTTCCAACTACTCAACTCTGCCACTTTAGCGGAAGAGCAGCCACAGAAAATACGTAAATCAATGGGTGTGGTTGTGTGCCAATAAAACTTTATTTACAAAACCAGGCACCAGCTGCATTTGGCCCCACCCTGCCCTAGAGCACTGGTGGTTCCCAGGCCTGTCTTGATCCAGTGATATCCTCTCCCTCTGTCCCCTCCCCTCCCTCAGCCTTTAGACCTTGGGGGTGCTTTCCAGGCCTGGGAGGGCTTTGATTGCCATATGCTGTGGTCTTGGGCCTCTAGTCTCAAGTCTCCTCACCTACATAGACATTTATACTATTTAGTCAGGTCAGATTGCAGTAGTCTATCTCACCCATAGTGTAACTAATCTGCACGGTAATCCTGCTGAGGAGAGATGCCTAGCTTTGAGGTTTAGCTTCTGGAAAACAAATTAAACTGTTTCCCTGTTAATTCTGTGCAATGCAAATTCAGTGTGCAGAGCTCACCTCCAGCTGAAGACGCCTGCCCGTGTGTTTTGGCACAGGCATCGCTCGCACCTCGTGCACACATACGGCTACTGATCGTTTTCTTAAGCTAAGTAGTCATGTGGCCTAAATATGTGGCTCTTCTAGAAAGAGTCCATCATTTTCTGCAAACCATTTCAAAAGAGAGAACTGCACATCTAACGTTTTCCCCATGTTGGAGCTCATTCCGTCTGGGATTCTTTGGACAGCATCTGGAGGGAGGGTTGAATACCAGTGTCCGTGAGAAAGCAGGCTTGCGTGCCCTCAGCAGTCTTTAGCTTTTATATTTTCTGTCTTTGCTCCTCCTTCAGAGATGCCACGTTCATGAAATGTGGCTATTTTCCTGCAAAGGAAAGGGATGGAGTCTGAAGGTTCTGGTGCTTTACCACCCTCAGTCCTGAGTGCTTGCCCGAGATCCTGCGATTTACAGCTGAAGCAGGTCTTGTGAGAAGGAGCTGTAGGCTGAGAACCAGGTTAAAACGTGTGACCATTTGCTTCCATCCTGAGTTTCCATTGAGTTCTTACTAGGACCGCAGTGTTTTTTAACAAAGTTTCACTCATGGTTTCCTCCCTCCCTCCTTCCATTCCTTCCTTCCTTCCTTCCTTCCTTCCTTCCT